CCAGCTCTAGCTTGAGAAGTGCTGGAGCCTGGAGCTCTGGGTGCTGGTGACTGCTCACTTCTTACCTGCATCCTGTTCAGCTTTCAGGTTTCCTAAAACCCCTGCCCCATCAGATTTGCTGGTGGGGCAATTCTGAATGTTTTTGCCAAACGTGGCACATGTAATTTGAGGCTATGGGACTGCATTGCTCAGTTCTTCAGCAAGAAATCTTACTCATTTCCACCCTTTATAAAAGAAAAAATGTACCTCTAAATACAGTGTTTTCCAGTAGCATTTAATTATACCGCAATCATACTTTTGCTTTTTATAAGTACCATTAGTTCATATAAGATTAGGGATAATCAGAAAATTAATTCTTTTCCCCTTCTGGGTTCAGACTGAGAATGTTTTATAGGATTTATTCTGAAGTTGCAATTTCTGGAGCAGTGTGATCACTGTGACAGTGTTGTGAAATGTAGCAGAAATGACCATGGCATTGCAGACGCCAGTAGTAAACTTCAAACAGAGACTGAGGAGTGCTGACTCTGCTAGTGGGAGTTACACTATTTTTCCTGTTTCATAATCTTTATTGCCAGTGGACAGTTTGCTTTTAACTGCATTAATATTTTGGTATATGCAGCCATGGTGTCATTTTCACATTTTCCCTTTTCCCTTTGCAGTGTGAGGAGCAGCCTGAATGGGAATATAATTTATACATGTACCTGTACTTTGTGATTTTCATCATCTTCGGGTCTTTCTTCACATTGAACCTCTTCATTGGTGTCATCATTGACAATTTTAACCAACAAAAGAAAAAGATAAGTAGTACATATGCAACGCATCACCTTGTGATTGCTGCAGAGACCAGGGCAAGGGATAGATTTATAAGCAGTGACTTTGCCACATTAGCCTCGAGATTAGCATTGGCAAAACAGCTGCAGAAACCACCTTGCCAGGACTTTCACAAAAGCAGAGCTGTAGCAGCCCCTAATGTCCCCACCAGATGAGCATCCTGAAAATACAGGCTGGGGGACTATGTTCTCCACAGAAAGCAGTGAAGCAGCTCCATGCAGAAGGGATCTCGGGCACAAACACTGCCACAGGGGCACAGACTACCCTGGTGTACCCTGTGCACAAACACCTCTGTCCTTCCTGTGAAACCTGTGCTCCTCAACCCCTTGCCTCCCCGCCCCAAGGTGTAGCCAGGGTCAGGGAGGATCAGCCTAGCCTGAGCGCTGTGTTTCTCACTGCTTTGTAGACTCTAAATGAAGGGCTGAGGTTCTTATATTTTCCTCTCTTGCCCTCGACCTGCACTTCGAGTGCAGACAGAATCCGAGTCTTGCTCCTTCTCAGTTGCCTGCACCACTCTGTGTCTCCTGCCCTTTGTCTCCATTCGATAAGCAGCTCCTAGCACTGCATCTCATCAAGCCCTTCTTAGATATTTTGATGAAAGCTACAGGAAAAGGAAAATAAGAAAAGAGAAGAGGATGAAGGCCTGAACTTTGGATGGGGGCAGTGGAGCTCTTTTCATCAGAAAGTAATGGCTTTGTTCTCACCCTATACTTAGGCGGCCAGGACATCTTTATGACAGAAGAACAGAAAAAGTATTATAATGCAATGAAAAAGCTGGGATCTAAGAAACCTCAAAAGCCAATTCCAAGGCCACTGGTAAGAATGGCATAATTCAGTTGAACTTTGTGTAACAGCTGAATATTTATTTAATAGAATAAATGCAGTTCAACTTTCCAGTGTAGGACAGGTGATCGCTCCCAGATGAAAGCCTCTTATTATTCACATGTTTTGATTTTGGACAATATTTGCAAGTCCAGTGACCTGTGGTACAAAATTCTCACTGTTGTGCAATATTGACCAGAAGTCAAATTTGCCAATTAAACAATGTGACCACGTGCCTGCAATGAATGAATTCATGGCCCCAGTCCAGGGCTTTTTTTCAGTAGTCTCAAGAAGCTTTAGGGTTAAACAGGTTTGAAAACTCTGTCATACAACCATTCATCATAATCTTTAAGTTTATGAAGCTCTACTTTCTGATGAGTCAGGAGACAATGATGTCATCATCTTGACATGGTTCAAATTTCCTAACTAAATCTCCTTTCCTCCAGAACAAATACCAAGGTTTTATTTTTGATGTCGTCTCAAAACAAGCCTTTGATGTCTCCATTATGATTCTCATCTGCCTTAACATGATTACCATGATGGTGGAAACGGATGACCAAAGTCAAGAAAAAGTGAACATCCTCCATAAAATCAACATGCTTTTTGTTGCCATCTTCACTGGGGAGTGCATCATCAAAATGCTGGCTCTGCGACACTACTACTTCACCAATGGCTGGAACATATTTGACTTTGTTGTTGTGATTCTGTCTATCGTAGGTAGGTCAACCTGGATTTTCAACCAAACTCCAAAGTCACAAAGGCAGACATAAAATTAATTAGACAAAGTTAAAGGCTTTGTGCAATGATACACACTTTGAACTCAGAAAATTGTATTCTAAGCATATTTTTTTAATATGGTATCATAATATAACATAGTATTGCCTAACAATAATTTGTATGATCAGCAAAATGATGAGGTGTATCATGCCACAGTATTGGTTTCAACATACACTTAAAGGTTTATGGTGATAAATCATGGTCCAGAACTGGCACCATACACTTAACCCCGGTTCTGCATAACAGCCAAAGACAGAGAAGTTGGGAAGACAAAAAGTCACATGGAAAGGGCACATGGGGAAAGGTATTGTTCTGCTACTTACTTTTTATTACAAAAGTATGAAACAGTCCTTCAGGGCAGGTTTGGGCAGGCATAGTGAGTCTGGTTGTTCTCAGCCCTGTTGGCACTAGAACTCCACACTCTCATATATCCAAGGGATGAAATAGAAAGACACAAGTTTGTTGCCAATTTATGCCTTTTGCTGTTCTGCAGCCCAAATCAAAGATCATAGGTTAGGTGCTACAAAACTGCAGATCAAATGTGAATTGGAAATAAAGTAGCAACTGGAAGATGATCAACTGATCCAGTGAGAAGAAGAAATGCATAAATTTGGCTCTTCAAAAAAAGGTTCCATTTTGAAGGAGGAAATAGGTGAATGAAAGTGTCAGATTAGGAAAACAGAGCCATCTTCTCATTGACTGATGCTCCTGTTTTAATTGATTTTGTCCATAATCCTGACTGAATGCTTTAAAGGGAAGCCTGGGATTATTTCTCATGTACTAACTCTCTGTTTGTCTTTTTTCTTTTCAAGGCACTGTACTTTCTGACATCATCCAGAAATATTTCTTCTCTCCCACACTCTTCAGAGTCATTCGCTTGGCTCGGATTGGCCGGATCCTAAGACTCATCCGGGGAGCCAAAGGAATTCGAACTCTCCTGTTTGCCTTAATGATGTCCCTACCCGCTTTGTTCAACATCGGCCTCTTGCTTTTTCTGGTCATGTTCATTTATGCCATTTTTGGCATGGCTAACTTTGCCTACGTGAAGAAGGAGCATGGGATTGATGACATGTTCAACTTCCAAACCTTTGCTAACAGCATGCTCTGTCTTTTCCAAATCACAACATCAGCTGGCTGGGATGGTCTTCTCAACCCTATTTTAAACACCGGACCACCGTATTGCGACCCAAACCTTCCGAATGCAAATGGTTCAAAGGGAGACTGCGGAAGCCCTGCCGTAGGGATTTTATTCTTTGTTACTTATATCATTATATCATTTCTCATTGTTGTAAACATGTATATAGCCATTATTTTAGAGAATTTCAGTGTAGCCACTGAGGAAAGTACAGAGCCTCTAAGCGAGGATGATTTTGATATGTTCTACGAAATCTGGGAGAAGTTTGACCCTGAAGCCACTCAGTTTATTGAGTATTCTGCACTTTCAGACTTTGCAGATGCGCTGTCAGAACCTTTGCGCATAGCAAAACCAAACAAAATCAAACTCATAGCGATGGACCTGCCCATGGTCAGTGGAGATAGGATCCATTGCTTGGATATTTTGTTTGCTTTTACAAAGAGGGTGCTAGGAGAATCCGGAGAGATGGATGCCCTTAAAATACAGATGGAAGAAAAGTTCATGGCGGCGAATCCATCTAAGATCTCATATGAACCCATTACAACAACTCTCAGGCGGAAACAAGAAGAGGTCTCTGCCATCGTCATCCAGCGAGCCTACAGGAGACATTTATTTCGACGCTCCATGAAGCAGGCGTCTTACTTGTACCGGCACAGAACTTTTGATGGCAGCATCCTTGAGGACGATGCACCCGAGAAGGAGGGTCTTATTGCTTTCATGATGAACGAAAACTACGGCAGGCCAATAGACAAATCAGAAACTCTGTCCTCCACGTCTTTCCCTCCGTCCTATGACAGTGTCACCAGAGGTACGAGTGATAATCTCCAGCTGAAGATGACAGACTCGAGCAAAAGTGATGAGGCTATAGATTGTCTTCTCTCGCCAGACAAGGATAAAGAATCAATTGTTTAAATGTTTGTTTAGAATGCTTTAAAATCTTGTTTACAGAATGTAATGCTGTAACTACACAATGATTGAAGCAGCCTTCTTATTAAAAATTAGTTGCAAAAGAAACAATGGAGTTTTTACCCTTAACTGCAGGAGTCTAATAAGTCATATAACCTTTGACCCTGCTCATTTTGACTTGGCTCAATATTTATATTTATATATGCACAGGAAGAATCTTTGCAGGGTCATAGCTGTTATATCAACGGTGTGAATAAGAATATACTAGACTGTAAAACAGTAAACACAGTGTATAACTATCCACAGATAAAGCCTGGCTGTATACATTCATTTAAGGTCTTACTCATATTAGTGTGTTTACTTATGGCAATGTATGACCTTGCATTCTAAAATGAAAAAAAAAAAAAATCACAGCTGCTGTAGCAAAATGTAACACTTACTGTATATGTTGTGAATGGTCTTTCATAAATTTATTATATTTGATATTTTTTTACTTAAAAAAAAAGTCTCTTTTTCAATGGAGATTAATGATCCTTGCACTCTTCACAATGAACTCTGAGTCAAGGTAATAGGAACTTGTGGGATCCCCAAGGCTTGAAGAGGAAAGCTGTTGCAAAGTAAACTACCAAATTAGCAACATTTTAACTGTTTATTACACTATGCCCTCCCTCTTGGGACTTGCAACTGCTCATCAGCAGAAACACACAAAAAAAAAAAAAAAAACAAAAACAAACAAACAAAAAAAACAGAGAAGGAAATGATGTCAAAATAATGAGAGAAATGGCTTGTTCTATCCTTCAGGAAACTAGACAGTAATGGATTCTGTTTGTAAAACTGTTAATAAAAGCACTAATTTTTTAGTATGTTTCAAGAATCTGCTTTGAATACCGCAATCAAACTCACCATAGAAGTAGTGCATCCCGTTTATGTGTAGTGCTCCAAAGCACCATCTACGCTGGCAAAGTTTCTGTTAAGGTAGTGGAAACACTGAGCTAAGCAGCCTTATTGGAAACTCTGTGCATCAGTATTACTCCAGAAATACTGCTATTAATAATAATAATAATAATAGTTAAAACAATGGCAATTGGACCATGCAGAACGGCTGCAACAGTGTGATCAAGAAGGTGGGAGGGGAGTTGCCTCTGGATCTGTATGTGAATTTTGAGGTTTTGAATCCTTTCTACTCAGTGTGTATCTTTCATTTTCTCAGATGGTACAGTTAGATTACTGCAGAAGGACAAGAAATACAGGAACCAATAAAAAGAATCTACTAGAAAATAGATATATCCTCATACCTGTAGGCAAAGTAATATTTACAGTTGATGTCTCCATCAGCTTCAGGCCAAAGAAATGACAACAGGGTGGAAGGTGGATGTGTGGCTGTAGAAAAGTATTAGAGGTTTTATGTGCTAACATAGATTATTATTTATTATTAAACTTTCCGCCTCGATAGAATGTGAGAAAGTATTTATGGAATATAGAGACAAGTCCATCATTACAGACAAGTTCTTTCTTTTTCACCTTCAGACTGATTGTACTTGGGTTTGGTTGGACTTCATGGAAAATCTTGAGATTTCTATAATGAGCCATTGCACTTTAAGGAAGAGTAATTGTGCTTTTCACCTTGGAGAAGCAAAGATATCAAGAATGTATTTAAGGTGTATTGTCATTGACATTCAGTTACGTCCCAGGTTGTAAAGGAGTCAAAATCCACATGGGGTTGGCAACAAGAATTAAAGCAACATGTTACAGCCAAGTTTATCTATGGCCATTGTTATCTGTCCTCTAAACAAGTCAGAACATGTAAAGACAACATGTCAAAAGAATTACGATGTATCTGTGTAAATATGGGCTAATATATTCTCTCCATTCATTGAGAGGTGTCTCAGGCATTCACTTGAGAGTGGTCTATCAGTTAATTCAGAGGATTTACCATCAGGATTCCTGGGGTCTATTCCTGATTCTTACTACATGATTTTTAGGCAAATAATTTAACCTATCTGTGCCTCAGTTTACCCATCTGTAAAATGGGAATAATAATACTTACCTACCTCACAACGGTGTTGTAAGACTTTCTGGTTGCAAAGTGCTATAAGGGAATGAAACGTACTATATAAGTATTATTATAATCATATTCTCTTGCCCTTTTAACCCCAAGTCTGTGGTGTATAACATAGGGCTGTTCCTCTGGGCATTTTGTTGCCTTTAAATCTTGTATGTAATTATATTCAAACTTAAGGGAACTACTCTTAGTTCCTTAAAGTGAAAACACTCTTTATTCTTTCCTTCCTTCCCACCCCTAACCACCCCCCCAAAAAACCAAAATTGCTCAAGGCTTCTCAAATTAGAGAAACTTTATACAGATTCCCTGTGTATTTATGCTGTAATGTTATTCTGACTGTACATATCACCCAGAAAGAGTATGCGATTTTTATATTTATATGCATATATATATATATACACACACATACGTATATCTATACATATATATGTATCTTGTGAGTTTATAGAGTGGCTGACACTCAGAGGACATGACTTACTGATTAAAATGTTTTCTTCTCAATGGGTTTTATTGATCATTAGTAACGAGCTGCTGCCTATAATGAAACTGTTTAATTAGAAAATAGAACATTCATTACTTGCTGAACAAGCATTTATTGGCTGACAACTGGTAAAATTATTTTCCTTTTAAAGCTTTAGAATAAAAAGACAGGGAAAAATACTAAGAAAAATGAGCATTTCTTACGTGATTTTTTCACATATAGTATAAACTATTCAAAACCCGAGGAAAAAGACAGCTTGCACTCAGCAGTGCAATGTTGATCACGCTGTTTTAAAAAATACATTAATTATTTGTAACTTATATTCAGATTATATTCTTATTAAGAGTCAGGCCCAGTAATGAACGGGATGTAATGGGACAATTAGCTGGTCACTGATTATATTAGAGAAGAGCTCTTCCTCCAGTCATTTCACCCTTGTGTTGGACATTTTATTGTCATTACTGAGACCCTATAGTACCAATGCAATTATAAACAGTTCTGTCTTCTACCCAAAACCTGTAAAAAAAAAATCATAACGCAAAAAAATCTGAAAGAGGGTCTTAACTACAGATGTTTACAGTGCAACTTTCTGAAACTGAAGTGTAAATTACTTTCAAAACCTTTGTAACTGGAAGGCTGGTTTTCTATTGGGTTTTCTATTGTTTCGTGGCACATTTTCTTTAGAGCTGAAGAGGGAATGGTGTCTTTGTATGGTGTGCAGAACTCCCCTCAAAAACTTCGAGTAACGTCTCTTGCAGATCTTTATTAATGGAGATGCCGATCCAAATCCAGCAATGATACAACCTCCCAGTCCAGTGACTTAGTTACAGACACTAACTCAATAGTTGGCCCACACTGTCTATAAGCATGGTGAGTGCTACCATTTTTTCTGTTGATTTGTTCAATAAAGGCTACCACATGAATCACTCAAGCTACAAAAAGAGCAAGGAAAATATCAGCCAATATCATAGGACATATTAAGCTGTTTGTACCTGGAAAAATTCAAGTTTATTATGTTTCTTTATTAAATAAATAAGGATAACAAATATTTCCTGTGCCTTTTTTTTTTCTTTTTTTTTTTTTTTTTTTTTATTTTATTCACTTTTTTTTTTTTTTTTTTTTCAGCACATTTGTTTGGGAAATGCGTGGTGACTTTTGTTAGAAGGCTTGTCAATGAAAACCCCTCCAGTTCATCATGCATTGTAAGGCTAGCGACAGGGCATTAAAAGCTTGAGCCAAAGCTTGTTGAAATCATTGGAGAATTCCTGGGTACTTCAGACGAATTTAAAGCAGACCCAAAAGCTTCTCTTCAAAGAAAGTAATTTATAGGATGAGTCCAGCACTGATATTTCAACCCATCCTGCCCAGCAGAATTAGCTGGAGGTGGAAGGGTTTTACTGGAAACACAGGATCCCACCTAGAGGTTAAAAAAAAATGCATAAACAAGATTTTCTTAATGATACAAATTTAATTATATTGATTTGCATTTTGGTTACTGTTGTATTAGTTTTATGTTAAAATTAATACTAAAGAAGAGTAACATCCTTCCCAACACATGCATGCCTTAATCCTGGAAGGAGCTTCGGAAGATACACGGACAACCCTTACTTGTTATCAGCATTGATTGAGTCAGCCTTATCTTCTCCCAGGCTAGCACGAATTTAGTTACCCTGTTTCAGTGCTCTGATTCCTATTTAAATGTGGCAGGTTCCTAATCATATTAAAACAGAACAAAATTGAGCTGGTTTAAACTGCAGTGAGAAAGTCCACTCAGTCCTTTGAATTAGTTTAATAAAATCAGTTTATAATCATGTTTTACATTAACCTGGAGCAGTCTGACTTGTGAAAAAGATGGGGTTTATAAAAATAATCATTTACCAAAATGTGTCATATAATAAAATGACTTCTAAGTAATCAAGTGTATAGAATAAATCTGTCTGAAAAATTCTCAGAAAGATATTTTTTGTTGGAAGGAGCAGTTCACTGAAATGAGAACTCTCTGTGGAGACATGTCAAGTTAGTTATGGAAATTCCTGGTTAGAATTCGTGGTCAAATTTGCCATGGGAAGGAAATTCAGGGGCATAAACCCTACTGTGAAAATTTACACCCTGGATTTTTACCAGAATCACCCCACTCCTATACACATGTTCTCATCACTATGCTAGGGGCTGCTTTGTATTAGGACTCTCCTTATTTTCATGCAGATCATGGGCAAGTTTCTAAAGACTTTCAGATTTCCATTTTTCAGGATGAAAATTAAAAAAAAAAAAAATTGCCAAAGGGATTTCTTGTTTTCCAACCCTAGCAAGGAACCTGGAGGACTGGCTCCTCAATAAATGTGAATTTTTATAGTATTTATTTTTAAATCAGTCAAATTATGTTGATTTTACAAAGCCACAGATCTATTAAATCAAGTCTGTATAAAATCCATGAGCTGGGGCCTGCAATTTCCAGATTTATCT